GAGAACTTCTGGACATGTCGCAGTTTATATATATATATATAAAAATAGACGGCCTGGCGAAGGACCCAACCATATGCAGTTGTGAATGCCGCAATTGTGCTGGGTGGTGGCGGACGCATGCGAGCGGTTCCACTGGGACCTTCGGTGGAGCTCCCTGTGGGGCCACGAAGCGCTGTATTGGGTGGGCGGGGCGCGGTCAGCAAGGGCTGTGCTGCGTGGTGGCGGACGCATGCGAGCGGTGCCACTGGGACCTTCGGTGGAGCTCCCTACGGGGCCACGAAAACGGTGTACTGGGTGGGTGAAACGCAGGCAGGGAGCAAGGGCTGCGCAGGGTGGTGGCGGACGCATGCGGGCGGTGCCGCTGGGACCTTTGGTGGAGCTCCCTATAGGGCTACGAAGCGCTGTTCTGGGTGGGTGGAGCGCAGGGAACAAGGGCCGTGCTGGGTGGTGGCGGACGCAAGCGGGCAGTGCCACTGGGACCTTTGGTGGAGCCCCTTATGGGGCCACGAAGCGTGCGAGGGGTGTGGGGTGTGGAACCGCATGCCAGCGCAGCCACTGGGGCCTTCGGTGGAGCTCCCCATGGAGCCACGAAACGTGTGAGGGGTGTGCCGACACGGGGGGTGGAACCGCATGCGAGCGCAGCCAGTGCGGCGTTCGGTGGAGCTCCCTATGGGGCCACGACACGTGTGAAGGGCGTGCCGAAAAAATGGGGTGGAACCGCATGCGGGCGCAGCCACTGGGGCCTTCGGTGGAGCTCCCTATGGGGCCACGAAGCGTGTGAGGGGTGTGCCAGAACGGGGGGTGGAACCGCATGCGGGCGCAGCCACCGGGGCCTTCGGTGGAGCTCCCTATGGGGCCACGAAGCGTGTGAGGGGTGTGCCAGAATGGAAGTGGAACCGCATGCGGGCGCAGCCACTGGGGCCTTCGGTGGAGCTCCCAATGGGGCCACGAAGCGTGTGAGGGGTGTGCCAGAATGGGGGGTGGAACCGCATGCGGGCGCATCGGTGGAGGTGGGGCCACGACGTGTGACCCAGAATGGGGGGTGCGGGCGCAGCCACTGGGGCCTTCGGTGGAGCTCCCTATGGGGCCACGAAACGTGTGAGGGGTGTGCCAGAATGGGGGGTGGAACCGCATGCGGGCGCAGCCACTGGGGCCTTCGGTGGAGCTCCCTATGGGGCCACGAAACGTGTGAGGGGTGTGCCAGAATGGGGGGTGGAACCGCATGCGGGCGCAGCCACTGGGGCCTTCGGTGGAGCTCCCTATGGGGCCACGAAACGTGTGAGGGGTGTGCCAGAATGGGGGGTGGAACCGCATGCGGGCGCAGCCACTGGGGCCTTCGGTGGAGCTCCCTATGGGGCCACGAAACGTGTGAGGGGTGTGCCAGAATGGGGGGTGGAACCGCATGCGGGCGCAGCCACTGGGGCCTTCGGTGGAGCTCCCTATGGGGCCACGAAACGTGTGAGGGGTGTGCCAGAATGGGGGGTGGAACCGCATGCGGGCGCAGCCACTGGGGCCTTCGGTGGAGCTCCCTATGGGGCCACGAAACGTGTGAGGGGTGTGCCAGAATGGGGGGTGGAACCGCATGCGGGCGCAGCCACTGGGGCCTTCGGTGGAGCTCCCTATGGGGCCACGAAACGTGTGAGGGGTGTGCCAGAATGGGTGTGGGAGGGGGAGGAGGGGGGAGGAAGGGGAGGAGGAGGAAGGAGGAGGAGGAACGCGGGGCGACGTCTTTTCAAAACGAGGACCCAACACCACAGGATGGTTGGGAAAAAATGTGCGGGGCGCTACGGCGGGGGACACGTTTTGAAAGGGAGCCGCCCTCAATCCGTGAAGCGAGTGCAATTTTTTAAATCGAATGCTCGCGGCGCTAAGGCGAGATCCGCATATTGGAAACCACTCGCCTTCAATCCGTGAAGCTCTTGATCCGTGAAGCTCTTGTTAATTGTAAATGCAGGTGCGCAGCGCCAAAGCGAGAACCATATCTTGAAAACGACTTGTCTTCAACGCGTGGAGCTTATGCAAATATTAACACGATTGTGCGCAGTGCCCAGGCGAGAGCCACATTTTGAAAACCACCGGCCCTCGATGCGCGAAATTCTTGTATTTGTTTAAAACGAGTGTGCGCAGCGCCAAAGCGAGAACGAGATTCTGAAATCCACTTGCGTTCCATGTGTGGAACTTTAGCAGTTTTCAAGCGTCAGGGTCTTCAGTAATGTGGAAGTGTCAGGCAAAGCGCCTGGACCGCCCTTTCGACCGGCTTCGGGGTTAATTATAAGGAGCAGGAATGGAAGAGGGGAAGGAAGGGCCGACAGAGACGATGGGGGGCCCAAAACTAAAGACAGATCGAGGTTATCAGTTTGCAGGGCACACCGTGTGGCCAGGGCCACCGCTGCGACACGCTAAGCAACCCAAGAGCAGTGTTGGGGAGGGGTGCGAGGCCAGGAGCAGGAGGAGGAAGAGGAGGCACGAGAGCAGAGGAAGCTTCCCTCGAGAGAGCGAGGTCGATGATCATCGCCGCCCTGGCGATCTACGTCGCGGTGGTCCTTCGGAAGAAGGCGCCCCGTCCCCTCCTCCTGCCTCCTGCCTCGTCCTCCTCCTCCTCCTCCTCCTCGTCCTCCTCCTCCTCGATTTCCTCCTCCTCCTCTCCTCCCTCCCTCCCTCCCTCCCTCCCGCTCCTTCGCCATCCCCGTTCCCCTCCCGGGCGGCGTAACTCGCGCGAGCGCGGGGACAGGCGCCGCGCGTCGCGCATACCGCGGGGCGCGATTCTGTGAGCACAACGCGTGGAGGCGCGAGTCCACCATCTGTGCCTGAGGCTTCCTGCGGCCCTGGAGGGTCTTCTGCCGTGAGGACAAAGTGGACGGTCGATGAGGCAGACGATCGACTGTGCGACGACGCGTGGATGTGCGAGTCCACCATCTGTGCCTGATTGTTCCTGCGGTCCTGCAAATTCTTCCGCCGTGAAAAGAGCCCCGTGGATGGTCGATGGCGGGTGACCCTGACGACCGATTGCGAGACGACGCGTGGAGGCGCGATTCCACAATGCGTGCCTGCTGTTTTCCAACGGCCCTGCAGGTTCGGCGGCGCGCCTGGGGAGGGGGGGGGAGGAGGAGAAGGCCTTCTCAGGAGGCTCGGAGGTCCCCCGGCCTCCCGGGAAGTTCCCCAAACCTACCCCGAAGTCGCAGACAACTTCTCGGAAGCCTTCCGAGGCCTTCCGAGAAATCCCGCCGCCTTCCGTGAAGGCCTGTTCCTTCCCACTCTTCCCCCCCCCCCCTCGCCCGCCGCCGAGAGGAAGCTTCTGCCGTGAGGAGAAAAAAACGGTGGATGGCCGAGGGCGGGCAGGCAGGGCGGCGGGGCCATGACCTGGCCCGAGGGAGCGCGCGAGCGCGGCGCTCGTGGGGCGGGTGGGCCCGCGCACCCCCCAGCCGCTTCGGTTTCCGGGACATGCTCTTCGGGCTCGGGTTGGGCGCCTCCTCCTCTTCCTCCTCCTCTTCCTCCTTCTCCTCCTCTTTCTCCTTCTCATGCTCGTCGCCCTCCCTCCTGCTCTCCTCCAAGTCCTCCTTGCAAGGATTCGGTACGTGAAGCGCTGTTGCAGGGTCCATCTCCACAGGGCGTCGCGTGGCGGGGGGGCCATGCATGAGGGGGGGCAGCGAGGGCTGCGGAGGAGGGGCCCTTGATGGCCCCTGGAGGGGCCTTTTTGGGCCCAAGGGCCCACAAGGGAGCCTTTTGACGCGAAAAGAGCACCGTCCCGCCCCATCATTTATCGCCCCCTCATTGGTCGACGCCCAATCGATTTTTTGTCGTCGGAAGCCCATCCGCCCTGGAACGCATCCTGGGCACTTCGCAGCATGGCATCGCCCTGTCAGGGGCGAGGTCGGTCCGGTGTTGTTAAAAGTGCCCCTAGCCCAAGGTAACCCCAGGATTTCCGAGGAGGCCCCCCTGCAGGGCCTCCAGGGCACCCCTCACGCGGCCCAGGGGGCCCCAGGGGCTCCAACGTGGAGCGAAAAGCTGGGAACACCTTGGGCCGGGGCCGATGTATTGGCGATGTATCGGCAAGTCCAGGTCGATGTTCCCCCCCTGAGCCAGACCCCCCCCTATCGTTCCTCATCAGTTTAGCTCCTGAGGGTTCTCCCCACCATTCGTCGCCACAGCTGGCCGCGTCTCGAAAAATCCTGTCAGGATGATGCCCAGGGGAGTCTGGCTACCAGGTTTGAGTGAGATCTGGGGAGCAGTTCTGAGCCGATTCTTGCTTGGGAGGACACATACCCTCTCGGCATGGAGCAGTCGTTTTGTTTCCTTATCGTAAGCCCCTTGCACGCCTCAGTCCATTCTTCCCACTCCTCCTCTTCGCTACCCGCACTCTTTTACATCGTCCTCCTCGCTCCCTCCCACCCCTCACTCGATGCGCACGCATTCCGTCCCCGAGGAAAATCAGAAGCGCAGAACAGACCCACAGGGAGCATGCCGTGCAACATGTCTCAACACGCTATACAGATGCGGTGTGTCTAGATGAATGCGCTTCCAGCTCGTGTCTGGATTCGGGAAGTGGTCGAACTTGAGGCGTTAACAACAGCTGCTCCTACTGCTCCAAATGGTCCCATTACCTCTACGTCTCGTCGTCGTCGTCGTCGTCACCCGCCTCCTCCTGGTCCTGCTTCTGATTCCGCACCACTCAGAACGCTACCGTTATCATCACCTCCATCTACGTATTCTTACTCCGTCTCTAACTCCCACTGTCCGTACCTCCCCTATTCTCCCTAAGTGACAGAAGCACTCCACATCAGAGCGTTCTGTAGGAGTGGCCAGAAGTGGGCGCCGAGGAATCAGTAGCAACAGAGTAGTCGGGGTAGTAGGGGCAGCGGGAGCAACAACAGGACATGCACATGTTGTGGCAGTAGAAGGGGCAGCTTGGCGAGGGCGAACCGAGGTATGGGTAGAGAGCGGAGGCATGATGAATAGTCGTAGGAGCATTGGGAGTGGTAGGAGTCTATCATGCCCATCTG